CCCCCCCCCCCCCCGAGGAGGTCCTTGTTCTGACTCCATTCACACAGGCATGCTTTCTTGCCGGCATGAGTCACTGGGGGCACTGGGACACACACACACCTGCATGAACCAGCCACAGACTCAGACTCCCCTGGATCCATCCATGGCCTCGCCCCCGTGGGTTCCAAGCCAGAGCCCATGTCCTCCTTCCTGGGCTGATGATCCTTCTCACGCTGCCTGCTTCTCCTCAGAGTGGCTCACAGACTGTGTCCTGCCTAAGGGGCTGGGGGCACAAGTGTTCCGTCCAGGGAAGAGCAGAACAAGGAATGTATTAAATGCAGCTGGAAGCAGTCACACAGAAAGAAGGCAGAGGGGAAGAGTTCAGGAACTGAACTCTGGCAGCATGTGTTCAGTCCCAGCTTTGTCATATGATTTGGAGTGAACGGATTAAGCACTTTGGCCGTTGGTTTAATCAGAATTCATGATCCTCATGCTCTCTGTGGAGGTAGGAGTGAGAGGGAAGCCAGGCACAATGATCCACTTGTTGCCATGTACTCCCCCTCTAGCACAGTGGTTAAGATCTGGAGCGGGCTCCATGGCCACAGTATATGGTTCAGACCCTAGGTCTGCCTCCTACCAGCTGTGGGACTTTGCACAAGATACTCAACCTCTCTATGCCTTTATTTCCTTTATTGCCTTTACATATATTGAGGTAAGAATAAATGCACCTGCTTTACAGGAATCATGGAGCCAAGAAAAGTAGATTAAATACAAAATTCCCAAATAAAATAGAGAATATCTTTTAATCTGTCTTCCTTGGTTCCCAACCTGTACCTTCCACATATTTCTGACCCAGAAACAGTGACAAGCAAGGGGTGACACTTCACTCCAGTTTTCAAACTTAACAGCCACAACTGGCCTCCACCCATGCTCTCCTTGGCACCCCAGAGCTGTTCTCTGAAAATGAGTCTAAACACCACATTTCTATCAGGACAAAGTATTTCTGAAGCATTCACAGGAGGGCTGGCACTGCTATCAGGACTTTCAGTACTTGGCTCACTATGAGATGAATCCAGGTAGGGCAAGGAAGATGAGCTTTTCAAGAGCCCTCAGACCCTGTGTACATGACACTGATCTTGCCTGAGGAATTCCTACTGCTGATGGGTCAGGAGTTCTCACCTCTCTGCTGGGGAGATGGGATTAATGATGAAGAGACGTCCAGCCTCCATCTATGCAGTGCTGCTCCAGCCTGTCCATTCAGTAGTCAGGGCATCAGTGATCTGAGGACTCTGAAGGTACTCTCAGGCAAGCCTGGGCGAGAGCAGGTGTGGGCAGGAAGAATTTATGGGTCTCTTCTCAGGGCATCAGGTGGGGCATGGACCTTGTGTCCCTGGTGGGATTGAGAACCTGTGAGTCTCAGTTGTGCACTATTAATGAGGGATCTGCAGCAATCTGCAGTCATCTCTGCTGACTCTCCTAGTCCCCCCAGGTTTCCATGCTTCCTGTACTCAGAGCCCTGGAAAGGAAGAGACCAAGCAGGGAGGTCTCTGTAGAGCCCTGGGTGGGGCGCAGCAGACTCAGATGGAGACATGCTTCCTGCTGCACAATAACAACCCCAGCTTGTTACACCTAGATGTGGACAGTCCTCATTACTTAGCACTGTTTCTGCCCCCTAGCCCGATATACAGACAAAGCAGTGTGGGGGAAGACCCTGGGGTGTTGAATCAGGCTAACATGGGATAGATTCCACTGTTAAACAGACTAGAGCAAGTGTCTTATTCTTTGACCTATTTTTTTTTCTTTTATACAATGACAATTCATGGACCTTCCCCAAGAGGTGGTGTGAAGAGTAGAGCAGCAAACCGGAGCACCAGCAGGGTGTTTGAGCTTGGGAGAGCTGACATGTTACTCAGGGTTGTGTGGCTTACAGTGTCAGCTTAAGGACAAACTGGCTATCTGAGATGCCTGCGGGACCCACATAGGGTAGCTACTGGACCCTCATAGTAGACAGTATTTCACAAATCTTCCCTCTCTCAAAAGTGCCCTGCCTTCCATTTATCAGGGCAGAAGAGGATGTGGTAACACCAGATATTTCAAAATATGTCCCCCACAGTTTATATTTGTTTTTAGACCTAGTTTGAATGAATTGTTCCGTATTTACACTGTCACAGAACAAACCTACTGGTTTCCAAAAAACAACAAAAACATCCTTATTACTATAGTAATCATGTGTTTCAATATTCTAAAACAGTCCAATAAACTCTTCTCATGACTGGCCTTTCCCTTGCAGAGTGTGTGTGGATACACTGGGCAGGAGCATGTGAGAGCAGTGGCTGAGATATGGTCCAGAGACAGAAACAGCAAGCCCACTTTGCAAACATGACTATTGATTCCTACGAGTTCCAAGTGAGGAATCCATCCTGCAGTGCGGTTTGTCAGAGTATGTGCCTAAGCAGGCTGCCCATTTTGCAATGACCACATAACATCACATGTTTAGGGACTTGTTAGTGATACAGAAGCCAACTCACAAAACAAATAAAGCTGGAAAAATATATTTCATTTGCTCTTGAAGAATGCACAGATATTGGGGACGCCTGGGTGGCTCAGTGGTTGAGCGTCTGCCTTTGGCTCAGGGGATGATCCCAGTCCCACATCAGGCTCCTTGTAGGGAACCTATTTCTCCCTCTGCCTATGTCTCTGCCTCTCTATGTGTCTCTCATGAATAAATAAATAAAATCTTAAAAAAATAGACCTTTTAGAGACACATTCGCCTACTGCTAAGAGTAGAAATGCAGAACCTAAGCAAATAATACACCAAAAAATGGTTTAGTCATAAATTACTGCTTAAAAGTAGCATTGATATCAAGCCAAGTTATGTTAGGTAAATTAAGAAGAAAGATAAAAGTTCATTTGATACATTAAAACTTTAAATATGATATGCATGGTATGGCATTGCTTTAAAGGATATAATGGATTTTACTGGGAGGCTTTCACTCTTCCACTCATAGCTTTTTGTTTAACTATAATTGCAGAATGACAAAATTTCACAATGTAATATAAATTTTCAGTAAATACCACAATGCACACTTTCAAGAAACAGTATGTACATTTCTGCAAATCTTTCATTTGTTTCCTCTGTTTATTCTAATAATACTTATATATTATGCCTTTGGATACGATAATAGAAATGAGATTGTGTATTCTATGGTTATTTAAAAATGTATTTTTCTAGAAATTTATTTTACAAAAACCTTAATCTACAGTTTTGGGACGTTAAAAAAAAGTGGTCCTTCCTCATTTATATTTTGTGAAGAATTTTTCTAGAGGCCTCTCTCTATGTGTTCCCATGGAAGTATATCCGCCTTCGTGATTCAGTCGTTTTCTTCAGCAGAGGAATGAGCTAGGGTAGATCAGTAGATCTTGACTTACTCTAGGTTGTGTCTTCCCAAATTTATACTTGGAAATAAAATAGTAGGAAGTCAACCTGAATACACACTCATATCACATTCACAATTTTTTTTTAATTTTTTTTAAATTTTTTTAAATAATAAATTTATTTTTTATTGGTCTTCAATTTGCCAACATACAGAATAACACCCAGTGCTCATCCACAAATTTGACACTAACAGAAATAAGGCACATATTCATATATCCATTTGTCTGACTTCTATAACTATCTCTTAATTAGTTTAAAAGAGAAAGCAAAGAATGTGTGAACAGTTATTAACGTTCAAATGTCAAAAAGAGTATCAAGCTATGGGATGGTTTACAAATCTCATCTACTGATATTCCAATCAGCTTCCTAGATTCACTGAAGATTAGTTTGAGTCCCCCTATTTCTCACTGATGAACTCCTACAACTCCCCTGAACAATGCCATCATCACTATGGATGATGGTTCCTTCAGCAACCTAGACTAACAGATTTTTGATACACATGGTTTCTCACCTAGGTTCAGGTGATCCCCTCTGGCTGGCAAGTCCTGTTCGCCTTATTTTTGTGGCTCAACTATTTTGTGCTCTTTTTTTTTAAACAAAATTCACATTTTATTTAGGTTGAGATAAACTATACAAAATTGATTTTCTTCACCAAAAATAACAGCAATGTTTTCTGTATTATTCCTAGATAACCACAAAACACTTATTTTTTTAGGTTTTCCAGGTTTTGTTTATAAATCAAGACGAGGCAGTAGAGAATAGTCATGGGAAAAGACAGAGGAAAACAGACAAATCAGTTGTCAGTATCCATGGCCTCTGATCCTGTCTTGACCATGAACAGAGGTGTTCAACATACACCTGCTAAAAAGCTTATGAAGACATAGATGTTCAACATATACTTGCTAAACAGCTCATGAGGATGTAGGCTCAACAAAGGAATGTAAACAGCAACAACCCAATGTGGAACAATGGCAGGTTCTCTCATTCAAACTTTAAATATAACTTGTTCCTTTAAGTTCATTTGATAAAGACAAAATCTACACAGAAATCTTTGCTTGGCAAGCTCAATTTTCTCTCTATCTGGTAACTCCCTTAACTCCATTATAGATTTTTTACTTACTAACACCCCTACTATTCAAAGGTCACTTGTGAGCTTCCTTGTAACATTTTACAAAATGTACTCCTTCTTCCCACACCTCTTAAAAATCTATTTTCTCCTAAAAACTGATAGCTCAATACCCGACAATTGGATCCAGTGATAATAAATGTTATGTCTAAAATGACTTAACTAAAACAATTCCCGAGTGCTATTAGCAGAGATCCTGTAGAAGTGTAATGTGGCACTTTCAACACTATCTTCTGGAAGAACAGTTATGTCTCCAAAGCACAGGAGTTCAATCAGGGGCCGTTTTAAATAGGCAGATTATCAATGGCTAATGTACTTAATGAGAGGTCAGTAAGTCAAGATAGTCAGTGATTAAGTGGCCTACATACACCTGACAGCTTTTCTTTCTGTAAGATGTTTCAAATTTCTGACAGAGTTTTCCAAATATCAAACATAAGAGAAAGTCTACTTTAAAGTCTCTTAGGTATTTTCAATGGTTTCTGAGTTATCTGTAGGAAGCTCTGACTTAGTTGTATAAAGTTTGATATATGTGTCTACCATTAAATCCAGATCATGTTTTATATAAAAATTTATGTTAAGCAAAGCCAAGTTACTTGACCTTTGTTCTGTCAAAGTGTTCCTCAGGTATGCTTTGAGACACTTTTGCCCATCTTCATAGCGTTCATTCTCAACCTTCATCACAGGAAGAATACATAGGACTTTGAGCAATGCATAAACATTAGGAAAAAACTTGATGTCTGGTAGATGTAGGGTTTCATAAATGGTGGATGGAAGCTCTATATCTTTCCCTCTGTGTTTTCACTTGATTCTCCAGCAACGCAGCTCAGCTGAGAGTGTGTCAGGATTGGAGAGGTCACTTCTGTACATGTCAGCATGGTGCCCCTCCGATGTATTAAATTTGAACTGTCCCATGCCAGAGGGTACAAGAGATAAGCATTTAAGAGCTTTGAGGTGCTGTTCTGAGAATATATCTTTCAGTTCCTGAATAATGTGTTCCACTGTTGGAACACTTAGAGTTTCTTTATAGTAGCTTTCAGAGGTGAGCTGAGATTCCAGGTTACTTTGCTGCGCTCTGCGGAATTTGCCAGGGAGTTTCATCTGAATATCAAGTTTAGTGGCCAAATTTGTGGCTTCTTCAAACCAAAATTCATGATAAACTTCAATATTTTCCATCACTTCATTTAGAGAATGCAGCACTGCAGTCAAGCTACTGACTGGAAAGAAGACATCAGAGGTTTGCCCCTGGAGATTTTTCCCAAAGGCTCTTGTAAAAGATAAAACATTCTTATTTTATTTTTTTATTTATTTATGATAGTCACACAGAGAGAGAGAGAGAGAGGCAGAGACACAGGCAGAGAGAGAGGCAGAGAGAGAAGCAGGCTCCATGCACCGGGAGCCCGACGTGGGATTCGATCCGGGGTCTCCAGGATCGCACCCTGGGCCAAATGCAGGCGCCAAACCGCTGCGCCACCCAGGGATCCCAAGATAGAACATTCTTAAGAACAACAATGGTAACGATGAAATCAAAATCTGTTACTGCACTACAGAGTACAAAAGCTCGACCAGCTATATAGTTATTCCATCTAATATTTGTATCACTATTTATACCATCTAAACATAGAACAAGTACTTGTAGGAGATCCACTAAAATTTCAAAAGCATCATGCCTGCCTGTCCACTGAGAATGGCATATTTCCTTAAGTTCTTTACCCTTTTCCTCATTATTCTGAAAGAGGACAGAAATTACATTGTTAAGCTCCAAAAGCAGTTGTGGAGATCGATGGAAGAACGAACAAACTTCCTCAATTGTTCCTAATGCAACAGATACTCCCACAACAGGCACTGATTTTGCCAACCACATGTTTAAGGCACAGGAAGAACAAAGTGTGTAGACAGCTTGGGGATATTTCTCTAAAAGTCTAGAAGCAACAATTTTCATTTTGGTATTATGCTGAGTGAAATAAGTCAATTGGGGAAGGACAAAAATTATATGGTCTCATTCATTTGAGGAATATAAAAAATAGTGAAAGGGAATAAAGGGGAAAGGAGAAAAAAAAAGTGGGAAATATCAGAAAGGGAGACAGAACATGAAAGACTCCTAACTCTGGGAAATGGACTAGGGGTGGTGGAAGGGGAGGCGGGTGGGGGGCGGGGGTGACTGGCTGACGGGCACTGAGGTGGGCGCTTGATGGGATGAGCACTGGGTGTTATTCTATATGTTGACAAATTGAACACCAATAAAAAATAAATTTATTAAAAAAACAATTTTCATTTTGGAAGAAAATCCACTAGATACAATGTAAGCCTGACCACGACAATATTCCATATTTAACCCCCACTTCTCAGTTATTGTAGTGTGAAATTTCACAGCCAAAATTTCCGCATCGGCTTCGTAAGGCAAGAAGCCCAAAAATTCCTCTCTCAGGTTATGAGATTCATCAACAAACCTCACCAACACAGGCAAGTGTTCTCCCCCTACTATGTCCACTATATCATCAGTGATGATGGAAAAGAAGTGAGAGTCTCTCACTTCCCTGAGGGTTTCCTCCCGAACGCAGCTCTCACAGATTTCTAGCATCTGTTTCTGTTGTGTTTTTGAGCAGAACAATGTGTTAACTGCTGTTGTCTCAAAACGCTTTCTTAGAACCTCTTCACCAGAATTTATCCGGCACTCCAGCAGTGCTCGAAAGTTATCAGGGGTACAGAGACCCTCTGGGATTTCATCAGTTTCATGCCCATCCAGAGGCATGTTTTGTTTTCCCATAAGAATCAAAATTTCAAATAAAGATTTTAGGTACTTTGTTTTCTTTCTCTTCAAGAGTCAAAGATAAAATGTCTTCATCCTGTTCTTCACCCCCTTCTTCTGCACTGGGGTTCTGAGCATTGCTGTTGTTTATTTCTTTATGTTTGGGTTCCTGTTCAGAAGTTTCATCAATCTTTTTTTTTCTGTTTCAGTGACTGGATTTCATCTTCACTCAATTCTTTTATTCGTTTTCTGTGTCTACTGTGTGGATTGTTCAAATGACTGGTAAGATCAAATATTGTTGGTATTGCATATCACGAAGAACTGTCCTATAAGGACTCTCCCAATGACTTCACAAGTATCTGCTTCAATTAATTTTGAGAAATAAAATAACCCAATCATTCTTTAGTTTTCTGATGCCTCTGCAAAAAGTATAGCTCTACAGATCATAGAGGTCTCAAAGTGCTTGGCACATAATAGATAATGTTTGTTTAGTTGATCAGGTGTTTTATCTTCTAAATCTGCTCTCCTACAATTCTCCACCCATTTCTGGCATCTGGCCGGATCCCGCGGGAACCTGAAGAAGGCCAGGCCGGACTGCGTGCTCTTCCTCGTGCAGGTGGGGGCAGCGCAGAAGGCCGGCATCGTAGCCCAGGCTGGCGGGCCGGGCCTTTTGTGCTCTTCTAAGCAGTCACAGAAATGAACTTTGCGGGGAAGCTTTCTTTGCCTCTGAGGAATGGTTGAGTATGCTCCTTTGCGCTCCCTAACATCATCTGCCACTCATTGCAATGCATAAGATTAGTTGAGCAAAGTATCTATGCAGGTGATACGTTCTTTTTACCAACCCATAAGCTTTCTGATTGTAAGCAACGTGGGTAGTACTTACTATCTCTATTTACTGCCAGTCTGTATGCATTTATTTCCTATAGCAGATACTTCATGAATGTCACCGGGCTGAAATTAGATAAATCATTGCGTATTTATTTTAAAAAATAGTTTCAAAATGGCAGATGGACAGCATAAAAACTTTGAACTTCCTCCTTACTTCTGAGACCTTGTAAATCCATTCCATTACTCATTTGTAATAAGCCCTATATACTTTTTGTGTTTAAAAAATATATCTTATTTATTTAGGGGCACCTGGGTGGCTTAGATGGTTAAGCGTTTGACCTAGGTTATGATTATGATTCCAAAGTCTTGGGATGGAGCCCCATGTCAGGCTCCCTGCTCAGCAGGAAGTTGGCCTCTCCCTCTCCCTCTGCTCCTCCTCTCCTACCACACCCCTGCTCATGCTTTCTATCTCACTCATACTCTATCTCTCAAATGCATAAATAAAATCTTTAAAAAATATTTCAGCAATGTATTTGAGAGAGAGATTAGAGCGAGAGAATGAGTGGGGGAGAAGCAGAGGGACACGGAGAAGGGGATGGAAAAGAAGACTCCCCACTGAGCATGGAGCCTGATGCTGGGCTGGATCCCAGGACCCAGATACCATGACCTGAGCCAGTGTCAGATATTTAACAGGTTGAGTCACCCAAGTGCCCCCCTACATTATTCTTCTAAGTGCAATAACTACATTTTTACGTCATTGCCTTATAATTTAAACTATATGTGCACTCTCTGGTCTAGGTACACTATGCAACTGTCTGGCTAAGGTGTTGGCCAATGGAATGGTGGAATGAGTAGGGCTCAGATCTAAGAGGTGCCAAAAATGTAAACACAAACATCTAAAGAATGCTGACATCTGGTAACTCTGGAAGAGATGATTTAGAGACACATCCATGGAGCCCTAATATTTGTAGGACACAGCTCTAAATTGTGAAAATGGGAAGGTAAAACCTTCCAATTCTCCAAATGGTATGGTTTTAATTTCATATCTAACATAAGGATAAGGAATTTGGAAAAAGAAAAAAGATATAGGATAAGTCAATTTGTGTGTGAGAAAGTTACCTGCTGATATTTGTATAAGTTTTATTTATTAAATCCAAGCAGAACATGTAATGCCATTCATGGCCTGACACTGGAACAGAATGTTTGCTGCCAGTCTCACCACAAAAAGCCATTGGCACATGGGGCAGTAGATTTGACCTTGAGGGAAGAGAAACACCAGGCTTAACCTGTTTTCTATTCCTGTAAATAGTAAAGTGGAAGGAGGTTTTTAAATGATAAGGATGACTTCAGAACAAAATATGATGATGAAATTCTCTTTCCAGATGACAAAGACAAAGGCAGTGGTAAGTAGTAGAATACTAACCTAACAGCTAACATTAGATTAATATTTTACAATCTGCAAGCCACATGATCCACATTATTTGCTTCAAGCTAATACTGGCCCTATTAGGTGGGAAAAAGACACAGATTTATCAAGAAGATCATATATGAACACTAGGATATAGACTTACCAACACAGAGATAATATGTCATGAAAATAAATGAATGAATCCTCCAGGGAAGAGGGGTAGAAATATAATAACAGATAACTGGTCCAAAGACAGAGGGTAGGAGAAGGTAAGGAACACAGTGCAGAAGACCCTTGCTCTACTGCTTTTGTCTGGGTCATTAAGCTTTCATGGGAGCCATTCCTGTGTGTTGGTGAACAACCATGGCTTTGAGTTACTAACAGGATGAAATAGGTATGTATGGGTATGTATGTTTAAATTAGCTCAGGATCTGTTTATTTAGATTTCCTCAGTAAACTTTAAAAAAATATCAGCTCTTAGCTAATCCATGTTCTCAGAGAATTAGAGGTCATCTCCTGATATTTGTGAGCACATTTAGCAAGCTAGTACATAGAGCAGAATCCTCAGTTAGTAGGATGGGGCATAATAAAAATAATTAGACTTCACCAAAATTAGAGAAACGGGCTTTGATATCCCTACTTATTTTTTCTTCCCTCTGGCATTGTTTTCTCAGGAGTGAGGTTATGTGCAGTGGGAAAATCTCTGAACTGGGGGTTTGACACCCAGTTGACACCCTAATCAAGCTCTGCTTTTATAAGTGCCTTGCTGTGTGCCTTAGAGAAGTCATGTTCACTCTCCAGGCTTCAGTTTCCTCCTCCTAGAACAAAGTTTGGATAATTCCAGTCCCACAGGACCTGACCATGTTCCTCCTCCTCCTTCCTCTGGACACCCCCCCCCTCACTGTGCTCCAGCCACACATGCCTCTCCTCTGTCCACAGTCATGTCACACTGTTTCCAGTCCCAGGACCTTTGCATGTGCTGTCCTCTCTGCACTGTCCTCCTTGCCCACTTGGAGTGCATCACTGCATTCACTTCATTTTTCTCTCAGTTACATTACTCTTTGAAAGTAGAGAATTTATTTGTTTTCATGTTTCTTGTGAATCTCTCTCCCAAGAATATGAGCTCCATAGAGCAGGGAGGAGTCTCTTTGTATTACTAACCTTTATATCGCGAGTGCTTAGAGGCTCATTGCAATACAGTGAGTACTCAACAGATAATTCTAAACCAGTGGATAATTTTCAAAAAATGAAAGATTTATCATAAGAACTCTAGATCATTCTTCGAGTATGACAGACACATGGTGTTGTGTGCCATGTGATCCTTGTGTAATTAGATGCACCTTCTCATGCATGCGCTACTTCCCTGTAGAGTTCCTCTGTTTATCTCTCCTGTACCACACTTATGTGTCTGATAGTTGATTCTTTCTCACTGTCCAGGAAACACACTCTGTAAACAAGGGCTTCACAGGCTCCAGGCCAGTGGGTTTAAATATCTACTTTACTGTCCCAGAGAACTGGCATGAGATCTCCTGACCCAATCTCTGCAGTTCCCTTCCTCAATGTGTCTTGGAACCTAGAAGCTACTGTCCTCTGCCATCACTGGGGTGAACAACATTGGTGTTGAAAAGTATATGCTCTCTCCTCTTCATTGCATCACTGCTGGTAGATTATTCTGCTCACAGTGCTTGTACTGAAAGATTTCATGTGTTGGGGGCACTGAAAGAGAACTGCCAATGCACATCATGAATAATAATGAGTATTGAATATTATTGTAAATATTCTCAATCCACCTACAGATCCCCTAAATAATGAATTATTCATTGATGTTTTCACTTTTTGTCTTACTTCTTCATCATCTCTGGCATAATTAACATTTTTCTCTTTCCACAGCTGAAAATATCAATTGGCACAGTTGTATTGCATTGTCCTTTTAGTAAGTCAGCTCTCTGTTTTTACCTCTTCTTCCTACTTATATCCTATACAATTTCATATTCCACAAGCAAACAGATCATCAAGGAAATGTTTATACATAGACCAACTTCCTTCGTATATAACGTGCCATTTTCCTGGTACACAAAAGCAGTTACAAACAATTCACTTTAAATAGATTAACTTTTTCTTATTTGTGCTACATTAATATCCCCTATAAAAACATATTACCTTTTCAAAGCATATTTACACATCATTCTGAACCCTTGGTAGAAAACAAAAGGATGACCTTATGTCGGATCTGTGTGGTCTTTACTCCATAGACAATGGGGTTGAGTGCAGGTGGAATAACAATGTAGAGGTTGGCAAACATGATGTGGAAAGTACGAGGGACATTATGCCCAAAGCGATGGGCAAGGATGGAGAAGAATGCTGGTATATAGAACATGAGGATGACACAGACATGGGAGCCACAGGTGCCAAGGGCCTTCTGGCGGGCATCTCGGGAGGGCAAGCGGAAGACCGCACAGAGGATGAGGGTGTAAGAAACGGCAATGAGAATCACATCTGAGATGACTGTCATGATGGGAACACAAAAGCCATACCAGATGTTGATGGAGATGTCAGCACAGGCGAGCCGGGCCACACCTATGTGCTCACAGTATGTGTGTGGTATGATGCGTGTCCCGCAGAAAGGCAAGCGTGTAAGCAAGAATATAACTGGCAGGATGATGCAGAAGCTTCGAGAGGAGATGCCCACTGCAATCTTGGTGATGGTCCTGGGGGTCAGAATAGTGGTATATCTCAGGGGGGAGCAGATGGCCACATAGCGATCAAATGCCATGGCCATCAAGATGGCTGAATCTAGGACAAAGCTACAGTGGTGGAAGAACATTTGTGTAAGACACCCTGGGAATGTGATTTCTCGAGCTCCAAGCCAAAAGATACTGAGTGTTTTGGGAACACCAGCTGTGGACAGGATGAGATCAGTCATGGCCAGCATGGAGAGAAAGAAAAACATGGGTTCATGAAGGCTACGTTCCACTGTGATGAGGTAGAGAAGGGTGCAGTTTCCCACAAGGGCCACAACATAGATGATACAGAAGGGAATCCCAATCCACACGTGGCAATGCTCCAGGCCTGGGATTCCCACCAGAATGAAGGGTCCTGGGTTGTAATTGCTCAGGTTGAAAATGATCATGGCAGACATGATGACCTAAATACAGGTCCTGGGGACAGAGGGCAGTAGAGGAGAGTTAGGGTCACCTGAGTCTCTCTCATTTCCAACCATTCATCATTTTTGACTCCTAAACACAACAAGACCATATCAGTTAAGTAGAATACTTTTGAAATAAATAAAGTTTTGTGTTGAGACAACAGCAGGTAGTTTGCATAAACTAGGATTATCTCAGATATACTGAGATTTACAGTCCTTTTACCTCAAGAGAAGATGTTCCTTCTTCTAGCCATCTCGGCT